GCACAATGTGTAAAGAGGCACTTATACTGGTTTAGAGGTAAAACGGAGACTTCAGTGAGTGGACTGCAGGCAAAGCGGTGAAGATGTCACATTTCTACAAGTCTGTATTCTGCTTGTTTAGCAGCTGTTTGATAAACCGATCATACCGTTTCTGTTACAGGCTGATTGTTGCACTTTTAGAAATGAATTTATGGATTGGTCCTTTGTATATTGACTACATTTTAATTTACTTTATTTTTGACCCCAAGCTGTCTACTTTTTGTGCCTGAAGGTGTGTATTTGTGTTATGATCAAAACGTAAAATGCATTATAACTCAAAGTTAGCATGAAATGGAAACAGAATAATACCACTTTCCCTATCAGTGACACAGACAGCTTTTGTTCTTCTGGTTAGATTTAGTGCTGACAGCACTGATGTGCACTTCACTTCTGATGGCAGCATGTTGTTTTTTCACTGGTTAAAATACAGTGTTACCATCTGTCTTCAGTCCTCTGTTGCCCTGTTGTACTGTTTTGTTAATAAAGGACCCTCCCTCACTGGTTCACAGGAATAAAGCAGCTGATTTCAGATCAGATTTGCTTTTAGATCCGGCATACCTGTACACGTACCCCTGGCACTGACTATTCCTGTTGCGTTCTCTTCCTCAGGCAATATATCTGTCCCTCAATATACTGTTAATAGTACACAAAATATTTGTCTCCTTACTGTTTGGATCCAAGATGTTTGCCTTGGCATTTGACTGACAAAATTAGAGTGCATGTTGATGAGTTTAACAGGGTTGTTGAGATCTGATCTGAGATCAGCTGTTTGAACAAAGAGTAAGTGCAGGGGATCGCATGTCATTCTGGTTTCAGTCAGTTCATGCCTCAGGACTGAACGTCCTTCTACTCCAGCCAATACTGTGAAAACAGGAGATGCAGAATGACAGTGGAAGGGTTTTAGATTTATTATTCATACGCATCATAAAATCTTAATGTTCCCATTTAGTCAGTGACCACTGACTGGGGAAAATGACTTTAAAATCAACATCTGGGTCAAATATTTTATTCGTTTTTGAGTTTGATATTGTTGCTATTTCAGTCTGGAGGTAAACTCAATAATTATGTAAGATGAAAAATATCAAAACTCAGCAGGATGTTTGATTTGTCAGTTTGAATTAGTATTTTGTTACCCCACCCCCCAATTCTCTTCTGTTTCTATATTCAGTGCCTTTTTTGGACAGTAGACTGTTCTGTAATTGGTATGTAGAAAATCTACATATGCCTTTTGTTGTTTTCATTTGTTGGATAAACCTTATGTTATTTTAAGGTGTGTTTTTACTGATATTCTATTTACAAGGGAATAAAAACTGATCATAAACCAGGCATTGTGTTTTGATGTGTTCTGCTCATGTCACCTACTTAACTGCTAATGTAAAACAAATATTTTAAAAATCTATTCCACCACCCATTAGTTTTAAGTATTTGAAGAATTGACTGGAGCTGTGCATGACTGTTCATTTTAGACCTGCTCGATTCAGCTCCATTTACCAAGTGAAGACCATGGGATTAGACTTAAATCTCTACAAACTAGCAAGCACATCTTCCAGCTATTACAACTCTACATGTACGTGTTCATTAGCGGTTGTGCCTTGGTGCCTTTAACCCTGAAAACTTGGTTTGAGATAGTTATCTTTTTCTTGAACATAAAATATTAAACTAAGCATTAGTCAAATGTATGTTTTGAAAGTAAAACTCAAGTTTAAATACACTGCTTCAGTAGGCGATATCACAGGTTAACACTCAGATTAGATTGAACTGCGTCATCACAATCATGCAGTTGCTTTGAGTCACAGTATTCAATTAGCTTTTGATGGAAAACACGTTAAATCCCGATTAATGCAGCAAATCTGTGACATCACTTTTTCCCCACTTTAAACAGCCACCCATTTAAAGTGGGGAAACACACAAATACAGAAATCTCTCCTGTGAAGTAATCAAGTCTTGAAACTTCAGATTTTGTGTTCATGCAGGACCCCATCGCTCATGGTAAAAAAGTTAGAAAATAAGTTATCCAAGTTTTTAATTTAAACTGTTAGTCCATATTTGTCACACAGCCTTAAATCGGGAGCATGACTAATTCATCTTCAGAATTTTATGTTAAAAGAATACACTAATATGGTTGATCAAAGTTGCAACTGGACACAATGATCCAACTTTTCTGAGCCTTCCACTGTTTCACTGTCTTCATAAAGGATGGAGTTTGTGAGATGACAAGTGGGGAAACAACTACTGACCCTGTATTTCAACAAACTCATCTCTGTGACAACTGAGCAAACACAGTCCTCTGATGAAGACCCCATGTGATACAGCTGTAAGCTTGAGAAAAAGCCAGTAAATAGACTTTGTAGGTCAGAATTGTTTTGCTATAATAAACAGCGATTTGATTAGCCAGGTTTTCTGAAATCTCTTGGACAAGTGACAGTGTTCATCTCCTCTCTTTATAAAATGTCCTTAGTAGATATTTACATATAGTCTCGTACAAATGAAAAACAACTTTCCTCTTTTCCCCCCCTTACCTGATTACTGCTGAGAGGATAAAAATAGAAAATTATAAATGCATTATAATACATATTTATTCTTTGGATTGCAGCATAGGATTACAGAAAACAGTTAATCAAAACCCAAACTTGTGCTCAATTTTTCTTTATGCAAGTCTTAATATGCGCATATATACACAGACATACAGTAGAACAATCCAATGGTGCACTCACACATACAAATGACACATCAAGACAAACCCACTCCACAGAATCAACAGTAGCAATGAGTGAAAATAATTAGTTAGGATGGTGGAGATGTAGTAATACTGTTGACCAGGCCGGGGCCACATTAAGCCTTTGTATGATTATTCAGATTTTGCTTCAGAAGAGCATGTGAATGGTTACAAGGACTGGAGGTGGGTTTTTTTTTGCAGGAATAACAAGGTTCTACCAAAACTCCCTGATTTAGCAAGCACCAGACCCTTCTCCTTAAGAGCCATTAGTCTTCCATTATTACAGCTCAAGTTAAATATGGCTGCTGGTACCTAGAAAGAAATATTGATAGCAACTGCCTTTAAAATGCACCAAGAGCAGCAGCTGGATCAAAACAGACCCAGCTATCACTGCCAAAAACTACCAAAAAATAAAAGGTTGCACACCTGCTAGATGACTATTGCATCACCTAACAGCCACATATTTGCTCGTCTATGTGGTTTATTCGAGTGTTTGAGAACACAGAAAATGAACTGGATGCACGTGGTTCACTAGTGAAGCAGGTACAATGCTTGTCATCTGAAAGGCCTCAGGGAAGAAGTTGGCACAGCACTCCAGACGACCAAGACCAAGCACAGAGGTGGTCAAAACTCACTCCTGTGGCAGGAACACGTCCAACACAACACTTGGTTTGATCTGATCCCTGGCAGGCTCACTACTGTAGGGCAGTGGTGGGTTGTTGTTCCACTGGCTATGATTTTCTGGTTGTACAGTGTGGAATGACTGCAGCCACCAGAGTGCGACACAATGGTCTTCCTTCGAATTTAAAAAGAGCAAACAAAACCTGACAGCTGCTGTAAGTATAGGGCTCACAACTAACTGATAAACTAGTTTAGAAGACTGGAGTATTTGATATCGTTTTAGTAGCAAACCAGAATGGGTTTATATGCGTTCAAAATGACAGTTTAGTGTTGAACATGTTTAGTTATAACTGGAATTATTCCTGCTAAATCCAGTCTGGCTCTGGGTTGAAGGCCACATTACAGAGGATGATGTGATGCTCCAGAGCAGTGATCCCATAGTTAGCACAGAGTTACAGGAAATACAATAGGATGTGAATGCATCAAACATATGAGACCAATTCTGGGAAATGAGAAGCCTTTATGACAAGAAACCAACCAAAATAAAACAAAAACATTGTTTGTCTGAAGATTCATACAGATAAAATGCAATGTGAATATGCTTGGACACAAATCAATAAAAATAAAACTAAAATGTGGTTCTGATGGTCAGTAAAATCACATAACACTGTTGTTGGCGTTGCTTTAGTCTCTACAGTGGTAGAAGTGGGGAGCACTGAAATGAAGTCCACTGTGATCTAAACAGTTACCAGTGCTAGATTTCTCTTTTTACAGTTCCTTATTGAAACGGCTGAACTTTTTCAGTCTAATACAATAATGCATTTATGATGCTGCAAACTGCATGGAGAGAAAAGACAGATGGTTCTGTTGTCGTTACTTACAGCTGCATTTGAGTTTAGCTGGGATGTCAGGTAAAATACCACCATCTTTTTACTTGAAAGGTAGTTGAGCAGTGAGTGAAGAAACAGAGCCAAAGGCTCAAAAGACTCAAAACTTAAACTGAAAGCAAAACCATATTTAGTACAGTTTAAAGAACTGGTAGGTTGAGAACCTACATATACTAGTTCCAGAAATGAACTCTTCAGCTCTCTCTGGAGACATCTGTGCAAATGAACTGAAGCACTGATATGAAAACTGTATGTTAGATACATGGTCACAAGGTTTCAGAGGCACAATAACATAAAGGAACATCCAGAAGCCTGATGTGATCTCAAACCCCTGAAACAGTGTCCAGGCGCAGACCGGGACGGGCAAGTCCACCAGAAGTTTACATTTATGAGGAGAGGAGGGAAAAGTAAGGTTCGTCACTCCCAGCCCAAAAATTAATTAGTAAAGTTGAAGCTGGCGGCCATTTCCCATCTTGTTAAGGACACAACCAAGTCAAAGCCAGGTCCACCCACAAAAACACACAATACAGTCGAAAACTCGAGTCCCTTCTGTCATCACCATCTAACTATTATGAAGCAACACTATTTAAAAGAGCCCGGCCTGCATGCCTTTCACCTGCGGACCAATGACTTGAAATGGCACCTACAATAATCAGCCAACCAATCAGAGAACTGCCGGGTTCTGTGCTTTAAGCCAGCCAGTAAATACACAGATAATGACTAGACTACAGGGATAGATTTTCTCATCTTCAAACTCAATGCAACACCAACATTACAGTTTCATCATTCCTATTTACAAAAAAAATAACAACAACAAAAAGAAAATCAATTTAAGGTGGTTTTTCACCCAGAGAGTTCAAACCAATTTCTACAAGGCCCACATGACAAAGTCCAGTTTGGTCACTGAACCAATGCACGGACTAGAGTCCCATTTGGGATAGAAAGAAAAAATTGAACTCTAGTATACAGGCAGATTTAAGAGTGTATGTTAGATGAATCATTTTATCTATTCACAGATACATTTACAATGCTAATAGCAGCAATTTTCAAGGAATCATTTGTGCAAGATGTATTAAAATAAAAGTTAATTTTCATGTGATAAAAGGCATGTGTATAAGCATTAAAAATAAATATAAAATTACACTTCTCGAATTAATAAGATGCTGAAAAAAAGGAATGAAAAAATCTCCTAGACAAGGCGAGTGTGTGTACTGTACATGTGCATACAGTAACCCAGAAAATGTAATGTAACCGTCATCATATCATCAGCCTGTAGCTCACTTTATGAGACTGAGGACAACTCAAACACTTTACACTGACCTTAGTCTAGTTCAATAAATGGGCACACGAGTGATTAAGTATGAGTTAGGAAATTTGCAAAAAAAAAAAAAAAAAAAAAAACGGATCAAAATCAAAATATGCTGAATTTTAGTGTAAGTGACTCTGGGCCAAGCTTCAAAAACACTAACGCCTACATCTCCCATAATGCAAGTCTATGATGTCTCGTTCAGGCTCTCTCCACCTGATATTTACCCATGTCTATCAGTCTGCACACTCGCAGTTTGTAACACACGGCTTCTGTTTTAAATTTGGAGTCTTTACGTAGTAGGTCTGGTGACATCGGATTTCAGAAAACTCCTCCAGAGCTTACATCTGGTTTTCACAGGCTGATGACGACAAGTAAACTAAAGTGCAGGTGTAAAAATGGCAGAGTGCTCCTTTAGCTTATGGAAAAATATCTAAAGCACACATGCTGCATGTCTGCATTCCCAGTGAACTGATGGTATACATAAAGTGTGAAACTGTGCTGTGGTGTAGCGCCCATGCGTTTCCATAAATTAACACACAGGAGTAAGGTATGCAATGTTTGAGTCCATCTGGAATGTTTCATAAGCAAATCCTTTAATAAAAATCTCTAAGGCTGCAACAAAATCCTGTATTTTCCTCACCAGACGTGTCAGGAACTTTCAGTCAGTCAAAACTGCTTCTGTGTTTAATACTTTCCCAAGACATACTGTACTTGAAGCCTGTTCTCCCAGCTGAGTCAAGATTTAAAAAAAAAAAAAAAAGATAATTTTAAAACACATCAAATGCATAGAAGCACATCAATTCTCTGCTCAAGTGTGAAATACCCACATCCATATCACTTTCTTTTCCTCAGCACACACACATGCCCGTTTCCATCAACACACTACCAAAGTAACAGTCCAAACAGCGCCTCCTGGTGTCCAGATGCCACTGATCACTGTACACTTGCTGTCACAGACATCCAGCCCACTCCCATAGAAAACATACTTTAGTTTAAGGCCATCAACAACTACCTTCACATTATCCCAGCAGCTTGAGGTAGGGCTGCAGCTGATAATTATTTTCATTTATCTGGAAAATGTCTTCTTGATTCAATTATTCATTATTGGTTTTATAAAATGTCAGAAAATTGTGGGAAAAAACTGCTCACAGCTAAAGCAGCAATTTTCATATTGCATGTTCAAAATGACTAACAGTCCAAAACTCACTGATATTCAGTTTTCTATCACCCAAGACAAAGATGTGCATCAAATCCTGATATTTGACAAGCTGGAACCAAAGAATGTTTGACGTTTTTGCTTCAAAAAAAAAAAACAAACAAAACAAAAACAAAAAAAACGATTAGTTCATTCATAAAATAGTTGCTGATTAATCTAGCAATTGAAAGAAAAATTTATTATTGCAGCTCTGTTAACACGTCATCTTCCTTTCTGCCCCTTTCACTATGTCATGACCACAGATGCCTTCTGTTCACATACAGAAGCTACCTATCCAATATCTCCAGTGCAAAATAGACCTTTAAAGCCTCCCACTACGAACAACTCGCTCCCATAGTGGCTTTAACATCAACACAGCTACAACAATCACTTTTTTGTGCACACAGAGAAACACTGTATAGCATTTACAAATGCACACACTCGCAATCTTCCCCACTGTTTTCCCTCTAAAGTCCCTGAGATCACCTCACACTTAGCACTTAACATAAACACATCTGGTAGAAACTAAATATGCAGACAAACAAATGCAAATGGAGCCATTGTGAAGGCACATTGTGGGAGGCCCTATCTTCAAGAGACAAGGAGTCCAGGAGAGAGAGACAAGTCTCAAACAAGTGTTGGTATGCAAACTAGACTGAGAAATGTCAGGGGAGTGGCAGCCGGAGCACGGAATTCTGGGACATACAATCTCAGGACTACCAGGGAGAAACGGCATATCCAGGGATGCAAACAGCCTGCTGTCCTAATATGACTGACACCATGTGATGTCTGTGTCACACCGACTCCAAATTTTAAAAAGTGTTTAAATGTTTTGATCTGTTTTTAGATCCTCATTCACAAGTAACAGGAAAAATAAATGGAGAATAAAAAATGTCAGCTTTTCACAACAGCGTGGTTATAAGTCAGAGGGCCAGAGATTGTCTTTTGGTCTTTTCCAATAGTTGTGACTATAGGGAAAATCAATCATTTTCAATAATAATAAACTGGAGAAACTAACAAATAGGAAAAAAGTGTTCTTTACTTAGTTACATTCCCATGTTCCTTTGTGCATGCACATACTGTCTTCCATCATTCAGTGCTAGAGTGTTAGGTATTTTTAGTCAGATAGA